AACTTTCTCATTCCTAAAACCTTACGCTTATTGGAAAATCCTTAACCTCCTTACCTTGAGTTGAGATGAACATATATGTTAGGATGAGGAGCATGGTTTAAGTTTGAGGGAGTTCTTATTATCAAAAGGGAACATTGAGAAAACAATAAGTTGAGTTAGAAAGAAAGAAAAAGAAGAAAGAAGAAGAAAAACAAAAACATGAATTCAATGAAAAAGAGTTGGGAAATAGGTTAAGAAGTGGGTTATTCAATTTTGGAGCAAAAGAGACTATGCTACATCATGAATTAAATTGTTTGGTCTCTTATCTCAAGGTGTTTTGTTGTCCAGAAAAACCAATTTTTCTTCTTAGCCCAGCCACAATACAAGCTTCAAAAAGTCCTTGTGATATAACTTGCTTGTTAATGTGTTTGATATTGTTGAAACGAAAGGCAAAGTTGATTTGTGTAACACTGTAATAGTTGAGAGTAAGACACACATCCTTATACACCATTGTGCTTGAGTGAAACACTTTCTTTGGTGAGGATTGGTTCCATGCACGCATTGAAAACAACTTGCCATTTTTGTTGATCTATCATTTGCATCTATCTTGTGACTTTTAATTTGTGAGCACCATGGTTAAAGTTTAGCTTGCTAAAGCCATATAATCTGTTGAATTTCTAAGTTGAGCAAGCATGATTGATTTTGTTTATTTGATTGAAAGTGTGCTTAAAGTTGCTAGACCATTGTGATTGAATTATTTGCTAGGTGAAGTACTTCTGCTTGAGGACAAGCAAAGTTGTAAGTTTGGGGGTATTTGATAATGCTAATTCTTACCATTATTTAAGCATCAATTTAGTAGCAAAATCAACTCCTTTCTAACTTATAACTTGTTTAATCCTCTTCTTTTGTCTTGTTTTCTAAATAATTGTGTTTTGGGCTACTTTGATGTACTTTCATCGATAATCCCTTATTTTGTAGCTAATAATGAGCTTGGAAGAGTCTCCAACCATGTATAGAGTTGAACCAACCACAAGAAGCAAGCACATATGCAGAAACGCTCGTCGCCCAGCGAACGAACGCTCGCCCAGAGTGGACGCACGAGAGGACGCTTGCTCAGAGAGAAGTGGACGCTCGTCCAGTGTGCACGCACGAGAGGACGCTCGCTCAGGAGAAGTGGACGCTCGTCCAGCGAGGACGCACGAGAGGACGCTCGCCCAGCGAGAAGAGGACGCTCGCCCAGGAGAAGTGGACGCTCGTCCAGCGAGGACACTCAGTGGATGCTCGCCAGCGAGAAGAGGACGCTCGTCCAGAGAGGACGCTCAGTGGACGCTCGGCCAGCGAGAAGAGGACGCTCGTCCAGAGTGGACGCTCGGCCAGCGAGAAGTGGACGCTCGTCCAGCGATCAGTGGATGCTCGCCCATAGAGAGGAGGCGCGACTTTTCCAGATGGTCCACGCCCGGCGCCCGGGCGCGACAGAGAGGGCGCCGGGCGCGAGTTTTCCAGAGAGGTTCGCGCCTGGGCGCGAAAGAGAGGGCGCTGGGCGCGACTTTCCCAGAGAGGTTCGCGCCCGGGCGCGACTTAGAGGGTGTCGGGCGCGACTTTTGCTGATGTGTCAGATCTAGCTTATTTATCCCTAAAACGCGAAGGGGTTTGGATCTTTGGTTGCCCAAACACGATTTCTCTCATTTGGAGCTCTTGGAGGCGAGCTAGGAGCTGTGGGAACAGTCCTTCTTCACCCTTGGGTCTTCTTCCTTCTTCCATTTCCACCATTGTTGTAAGCTTGAGCTCTCCATTCATGGAGAGTTAGTTTCATTATTGTTGGGGGATTGATGTAGCCACTAAACTCTTATGTAAACTATTGTGTTTTGAATGAATATATGCCTCTTTCATTGATTGTTAGTGTTTAATTCCTTCTCTTAATGCCTGTTGTGAAGTTGCTATCCATGACATGATTTTAGGGTTTGCTTGATATTGGGAAATGTTGGGTAAATCTGGACTTGGATTAAACACCTAATGGAAATAGTATCTAGGGATAGAATTAGGACATTTGGTTGTCTTAGATCTCAATTCTTAATGCGGAAATAATTGTTAGGTCTTCCAAGGGATTGGAGCCTAATAAGGAAGTCTAGGCTCTCTCTACCAAGGGATTGGGTTTGAGTAATTTAGTAGATTGACATTGGCATATTAATGAAGAGGAAGTGATTTTCTATACATAAGAGTGAAGTAGGTGAAATCATACCCCCAACAATACCATTCCATATCATTTCTAATCTTTCCATTTCCAAGTGTTTGAGTATCTAAGATCACTTTCATCAATTATGTTTCATGTTTACTTTAATTGCACAAAAACACAAATTATGAAGCATTCTTTAGTCTAAGTTAGTTGGAAATTATACGATTGTTTGGTGACACGAGTCTCTTGGGAAACGATATCCGGTCTTACCGGTTTTATTACTTGAAACGATTTGGTACACTTGCCAAAGTCTCAACANAACTTATAACTTGTTTAATCCTCTTCTTTTGTCTTGTTTTCTAAATAATTGTGTTTTGGGCTACTTTGATGTACTTTCATCGATAATCCCTTATTTTGTAGCTAATAATGAGCTTGGAAGAGTCTCCAACCATGTATAGAGTTGAACCAACCACAAGAAGCAAGCACATATGCAGAAACGCTCGTCGCCCAGCGAACGAACGCTCGCCCAGAGTGGACGCACGAGAGGACGCTTGCTCAGAGAGAAGTGGACGCTCGTCCAGTGTGCACGCACGAGAGGACGCTCGCTCAGGAGAAGTGGACGCTCGTCCAACGAGGACGCACGAGAGGACGCTCGCCCAGCGAGAAGAGGACGCTCGCCCAGGAGAAGTGGACGCTCGTCCAGCGAGGACGCTCAGTGGACGCTCGCCAACGAGAAGAGGACGCTCGTCCAGAGAGGACGCTCAGTGGACGCTCGGCCAGCGAGAAGAGGACGCTCGTCCAGAGTGGACGCTCGGCCAGCGAGAAGTGGACGCTCGTCCAGCGATCAGTGGACGCTCGCCCATAGAGAGGAGGCGCGACTTTTCCAGATGGTCCACGCTCGGGCGCGACAGAGAGGGCGCCGGGCGCGAGTTTTCCAGAGAGGTTCGCGCCTGGGCGTGACAGAGAGGGCGCCGGGCGCGACTTTCCCAGAGAGGTTCGCGCCCGGGCGCGACTTTTGCTGATGTGTCAGATCGAGCTTATTTATCCCTAAAACGCGAAGGGGTTTGGATCTTTGGTTGCCCAAACACGATTTCTCTCATTTGGAGCTCTTGGAGGCGAGCTAGGAGCTGTGGGAACAGTCCTTCTTCACCCTTGGGTCTTCTTCCTTCTTCCATTTCCACCATTGTTGTAAGCTTGAGCTCTCCATTCATGGAGAGTTAGTTTCATTATTGTTGGGGGATTGATGTAGCCACTAAACTCTTATGTAAACTATTGTGTTTTGAATGAATATATGCCTCTTTCATTGATTGTTAGTGTTTAATTCCTTCTCTTAATGCCTGTTGTGAAGTTGCTATCCATGACATGATTTTAGGGTTTGCTTGATATTGGGAAATGTTGGGTAAATCTGGACTTGGATTAAACACCTAATGGAAATAGTATCTAGGGATAGAATTAGGACATTTGGTTGTCTTAGATCTCAATTCTTAATGCGGAAATAATTGTTAGGTCTTCCAAGGGATTGGAGCCTAATAAGGAAGTCTAGGCTCTCTCTACCAAGGGATTGGGTTTGAGTAATTTAGTAGATTGACATTGGCATATTAATGAAGAGGAAGTGATTTTCTATACATAAGAGTGAAGTAGGTGAAATCATACCCCCAACAATACCATTCCATATCATTTCTAATCTTTCCATTTCCAAGTGTTTGAGTATCTAAGATCACTTTCATCAATTATGTTTCATGTTTACTTTAATTGCATAAAAACACAAATTATGAAGCATTCTTTAGTCTAAGTTAGTTGGAAATTATACGATTGTTTGGTGACACGAGTCTCTTGGGAAACGATATCCGGTCTTACCGGTTTTATTACTTGAAACGATTTGGTGCACTTGCCAAAGTCTCAACATTCTCTTACCTCAAAGAGAACTACACAGCTCTAAGAACATTCAACAGTTGCTTCAAACGCAAGAAAATCTAAAAACGCCTACAAAGCGCGTAATTGAAATCAAAATGAATCCTTAGGACCGTTGATCAACAAGGAACAAGAAAAGAGAAGTGGACGACACATGCTTCACCTTTAAACCTAGAGACTTTAGGAACAAAACAACAAATGAAAAAGGAACATAAACTTACTTGCTCTATAGAAGGAATTGATCGATTAAAAATATAGATCTCAATGCGGTACTCGTTTAGGCACCTCCTGATTATCAAAGAAATGACTCAGGAGTTAGAAAAGATAAAGAAAAAGTAGAAAACTCAAGAGAAAATTTTTTAGAGAAATAATTTGTGTTTTATGTAATGAGATAAGTTTAAAAAATTCTATTTATATTATTATTTTAAAACTTAAATACTTGATTTTATTATTTTAAAACACTTATCAATTCTAATACTCACATTTTTACATTTTTATATTTTTATATTTTTATATTTTTATACGAGGGATCATTATCGAACTTCAAATAATAGTTTGATTTTAAATTGAATTGATTAACTAATTTAAGGAGAAGTTTGAAAGAAAAAAGTTATTAAATTTAATAAATTTAGTAGATGGAATTATTGGTTCTTTATAATATTTAAAAATTTGTAATGTATTTTAGTAGATAGAATTTATTTTCAATGTATGAGCCACGGTTGTTAAGTATGAAATCTGATAATTTATTATTTCCTTAACTACTAAGCTTTAAAAAAAAGGCAACTTACGAATCAGTACAAAACCAAAACCAGAGGTTTCTAATTAGCGTATAAGATGGGTCTCTGCTTCTCCAGTGCTCCATCACTCTATTCCCCTTCACGCAGCCGCCCTCACTATCAAGGCAAGATATCAAAATTTCAGTGCCCTTTCTAAATTCATTCACAAACAGAAAATGGGTTGTTCCTTTTTTTCGTCCGATTCTAATTTTCCCATGTGGGGTTCGGTTCCTCTGTTTTCAGGTGCATCAGCCATTCACGGCAGCAGCGTCGAATTCTCCGAAACCACCACAACCACCGAGATCAGAAAGAGTCAGTTTTCCGTGAGAGAAACCATCTACAGCGATTGCTCTCCTCTTCCTTGTACCGATGGCCAAATTCTGAAATGGCCTGAGTTAAAGGTGTTCAGTTTTGAGGAGCTGAAATCTGCCACTGGAAATTTTAAATCCAACAGATTGGTCGGTGAAGGTGGGTTTGACAGAGTTTACAAGGGATGGTTGGATGAGAACACCCTCACCCCCGCCAAACCAGGCTCTGGAGTTGAAGTTGCCATCAAAATATTCAACCCGGAAGGTTCTCAAGGATTTGCACAGTGGCAGGTCGCTTTATTTTCATCTCATTTACATTTTTTAAACTTTAACTTTAAATTTTTAATGAACTGAAACTCTTCCGCCCTTAGATTAAAGTAATTGCTATCATGTTATGCATCTTAGCAATTGAATACAAACTTTTCTTTACAATGTGGTAAAGTTAGATGAACTTGTCCTTTTCTATCATGTTATGATTTTACTTGTCATGTTGCATTTAATTTCCGTGCCATAAATCCAACGTCTTGAACAACTTTGAGATGCTATTTAAATATGATTTTGTGTTGGTTGGAAGATACAGTCTGAGGTAAATGTTTTAGGAAGGCTTTCTCACCCCAACGTGGTCAGGTTATTGGGATACTGTTGGGACGAGGATCAGTTTCTTCTTGTGTTTGAGTTCATGTCAAAGGGAAGCTTATCGGGGCATCTCTTCATAAGTATGAACTGGTGACAATTAAAACAGATTGAAGGAAACAACTCTTGACTTTGAGTTTAATTCTTATTATTTGTCTTGTCTCTGAGCAGGAAATCATGAACCACTTTCGTGGAACACCCGGCTTAAAATAATTATTGGTGCAGCCCGGGGATTAGCTTTCTTGCATGCCAACGAAAATAAGGTCATATTCAGAGATTTCAAGACCTCAAATATACTTCTCGACGGGGTCAGTTAGTTTTTGTTCGTTGATGTTCGTATGTCGTATTGGAATCCAAAGCAAATACAGTATGAAATTTTGATGAATGGGCTGTTACTAATTTGGACCCATCATTGGTTTTATTAGGCAAACTCATTTTGAAAAAGTTTAACTCCATCTTTTAACATACAACCTGAAAAATGCAATATCTTCATTCTCATAGTCTCTTTCTTAGGACTGTCAATATTGTAGACCAGGTGACTAGTTGAAGAATAATATTACATGATGATACTTTTAAATTGAGTGCTAAATTCCTCATATAACTTTGATAAGCGATTGCTTTGTATAGTACAGAATTACAATGCAAAACTAACAGACTTTGGGTTGGCTAAATTGGGACCATCTGAGGGACAATCACATGTAAATACCAGTATCATTGGCACCTATGGTTATGCTGCACCAGAATATATCGCAACAGGTAATATATCTGGCTTATTTAGTTTGAGGAAGTACTTTTTGTTTTAATTTCACATGTTCACAAGTAATTACTTAAATGACACCTGACTTGTTTTGCGAAAATAAGCGAAAATAAGCCAAAAACAAAATAACAGAGAAAATTTCCTTAAAAAAATAACAGACCTTAATGTAATAATAGTAATGCAATGAATGTTTTGTGGATGATGAAGTTGGGAAGGTAGACTAAAAATAAGGAATGATGGAGTCCAATGCTTTGACTCAGCACAAACTAACATGTTTTTGGATTGTACGAATATTTGAACAGGGGACTTGTATGTGAAGAGTGATGTGTATGGATTTGGTGTAGTGCTTCTTGAAATACTGACAGGCATGAGGGCACTTGACACAAGAAGGCCAACAGGGCAGCAGAACCTGGTTGAATGGACCAAGTCCTGTCTCTCTTCCAAAAGAAAGTTGAAAACAATTATGGATTCTAAGATAGAGGGTCAATATTCACCCAAAGCTGCATTACAAGCAGCACAACTTGCTCTAAAATGCCTAGTGCATGATCCTTATCAACGTCCTTCAATGGAAGAAGTTCTTGAGGGATTGGAAGCTATTGAAGATAACCATTGAAGATACCCAACTTATATTTGTAATTTTTTTTTCTTAAGTTTTTCTAGATTGGTTTCAAGTTTAAAAGACAAAATAATCTTTATCTAAAAAAATCAAATGACCTAAGGAATAGATTCAAACTAGCCAAAAGAAAGAAATTTCATAATTCATTAGTTATCTTATGTAGAGTTTTACGTGTGAAATAAATTGTCATCTGTTGCTTCTAAATTTAATTTATAAGAGTAAGAGAATTTTGGATATTAAAGATTATGATTAAATAATTTATATTTATTCTTTTAATGTATAGAAGTAAGAGAAATTTATATATCTGTTTAGAATTGTAATTAAATAATTTCGATATATATTTTTTAAACTTAAATCAATTTAACCATATTTGTGAATACAAAAACTATTGCATAACAATTGTGGAACTTTCGGTCTTTTGGATGAATGCATGCATCAATACATCTCTACCTGATCAATTTAAAAACTTGTTCCATTTACTATACATATTTTTATACTAAAATTATTTATTTTACTATATGACCATTAATTAGGTTTATGATTGTTTTAATGATTTATGTATTTGTTTTGTTTTATTTTATTAATTTAAATTAATGTGTGTGAGTTCAGTAAAGAAAAAATTATTTTAAAAGTAATAAATATGATTTAAAATTGAAAATAAATATAATTTTAAATTTTGCTCTTTTTCATTAATTGTTAATGATATTATATATTGTATTATTATTTTGATTTTTTAATTTTCCTACTATATTTATTTCTTTATTGTATATTTAGAGAAGAGCCTTCTATTCCCCATACGAGAATTAGTTGCCACGTACTTTTGTTTAAAAAATTAATTATAATATTTTATTTCATTTCAAAATTGTGATTACTCTTTATTCATTTTTTTCTCCCATACACAAGATAACATATAATGTTATAACAAAATAAAAAATTCATCACAATCTTAAGGATAAATCACTTTATATAATTAAAAGCTAATGAATATTATAAAAGTAAAAAATAATTAAAAAAACATCTCTTTGTTAATTTTTATATATTATAGATATCCAAAAATTGTATTTGCACATGTTTATATATATAATATGAATAATTCGAAGTAATACATTTGTACCCTTTTGCGTATAAAAAATACAAATTATTTTATAAAAAGTTTGAAAATTTTAAATTAATACAAGGAAAATTTTCTAATTTTCTTAAAAAATAGTTTAACTTAATTCATTTAATTTAACTACAATAGTTTTTTTTTTAAAACAAGTTAGATGTTTTTCTTTTCACGTTATATGTTGTATTTTAAACATTTGGGATTTTTGCAGATAAATGAATATTGCATATTTTTAACTAATATAGTTTGTCTCTTTTCTTCTCCTTCTTTTCTCTTATGTTGCTACAAACCCATATTGTAAACTAAATTTTTTCAAATTAATTAATTTTTCATATCCTTGATCTTCCATTCTCTTGAATCATTTTGATAAACATGTACATTACAAAGTCAAACAAAAATGCCTAACATTGCAAAATAATCTTCAAACTCTTTTTCTCTAAATATCATTAAAGGGTTCAAAATGTAGCAACCCAAAAATTTCTAAGAGTAAGTACTTAATATTATAAGATAACGAACTGATTTACTTTATATTTCATAGGTAGATAAGTTTTTCTTTCAAAATATATTCAAAACAAAATCTAAGTAATTCAAAATATAACTAAACTCGTGATCTAAAATACTTCTATATTATTTTTTTTTTTATTACAGCTCCAGAATTATTATTATCGACTTTTATCTTTTCTTCTATATATATAAAATGTATGATTATGGCATAAGGAAATAAACAAAACACTCGCACTTAATGGTAAGCTAATTTAAAAAAAGAACTCAAATAAAAAGAAATTATATCTTATCACACAAGTTATCTACTTAAAACTTTAAAATAAAATAAAATTTATGTAAGCTAATGTATTTTAAAATGATAAAAAATAATATATTAGAGATAGTAACACATCAAAATAAAGATGAAGAATATCAAAGTATATTTGAGATAATAATAAGCTTTTAAATTATATTGTCTCATTTATTCATATATCACTTCTAAATTATCTATCCAGTGAACTGTTTTTTAAAAGCATAAAAACTCATGCATTAAAAAAAAGAAATTTAATATAAAAGCAATAATAACTTACAGACTTAATAGCTTTGAAGTATGTTAAATTAGTTTCATCCTTTAAAAAAGAAAATATCAATTGTGTTCCCACATGATAAAATTTGTATAAATGAAGTCTCTTCAGTTAAATGTTAAATACGTGTCTAAAATTTATTTTTTCTCTTTTCTACTTTTATGTGCAACATAGGTTTTTGTCAATATTTTCTCCTCTATCCTATGTGCCTACGAATAAAGTGATACAAAATAAGTATTATTCTTTTTACAATTTTGGAAGTTTCAACAAATCATTTTGAAGCATCATCAATACCTGATAAACCGTAGCTCTTGAGATTGAACTTTAGATAATTCATGTGTGCACCCACTAAATGCAAGCATGTTCTTCTCATAACCTAAATGCAATGCAATATAGGGACCGAATGACCTCATCCTCTCCACCAATGTCTGAAAGGATCCGAAAGGTATTTGGAAATGAAAAAGAAAATCCTGACAAAGCAATCAAAGAAACTAACTAGACTTAAATATCAAATTATATACTTTTCCCATTTTTTCAATACGAGGAGAGAAACGAAGAGCTTCATAACAAGCACGGTGATAGTTCAGAGGATGTATTTACAGAATGCAGAGAAAGGTGTAAAAGCACTCAGAGAATGAAAGAGGGAGAGCACAAGAATATGAGAGAATGAGTTAATTCTCATTAAGGAAATACTGCCTTATATAGGCAAAGTACAGAAAAGTATATATCTAAAACGACATAGTTTTGGTTTATTTACAACACTTCCCCTTAAACCAAACTATTTAAGCTTCTAATGCCAATCAAATTTCTCAGTTTTTCAAATCTTCCTCGTCTCAAAGCTTTGGTAAAGATGTCCGCAGCTTGATCTTCAGTAAGACAGAACACCAACTCCAACTTCCCTTGGTTGACACGTTCTCTTAGGTAATGAAATTTCGTTTCTATGTGTTTGCTTCTGCCATGTGATACTGGGTTTCTTGAAAGACTAATAGCTGACTTGTTATCTACCAAGCACCACTTGTTACTTCATTTGATTTTAAAACTGAGTTGGTTACCACTACAACTTGTGTTAGTCAAGTCATATATGATTGAAAAAGGTCAATAGAGAATTACAATTCAAGAAAATAAATGTTACTATAATTTTATTTTGTAACAATAACTCAACAATCAAATTGTAAAAAATTTCAACTCTATATATAAAATAAATATGAATATTTATGTGAACTTGTGTATCTTAAAATATTTTTACAAATTGGTGTTGATTTAATTCATCACTAGAATAAAGATGAAGTAGCAGTCGTTCTTGAACTAGAAATAGTTGTTTGATTTTAAAATGAACTAGTATACAGTAATGTAAGGAAAAGATGTTAGAAAATAGAAAAAAATATTGAATTTATTAAATTTAGTAGATAGACATATTGATTCTTTATAATATTTAAATTTTTTTAATGTATTTTAGGTTATATTATTCTTAATGAAATAAAAAAGAAGAGCTACGGTTTTCCTTAAGTATTAAATTTGATAATTTATTATTTCTTAAACTACTAAGCTTTCAATGACATATGTATTTGCTTTAAAAAAAGGCAACTTGTGTATCAATCCAGAAGCAATGCACTAAAAATCAATTCGTCAAGAATTCGTATCTTCATCCTCTGGAATTTAAATATAAATGGAAAAATTATTGTTAAAATATTGTTGTAGCTTTCCGAACTGTTGCAGAAGATTACTCACTCATACTAGGACAAATCCTGGTTTACATAATTGGGCAAGCGACTGTGATAATAATACTGAGTTTAAATAATTATTATTATTATTTAAACTAAATTATCATTCAGAAGATTATCATAATACTAAGAATGCGAAATTATTGTTTAATCTAAAACTATTTGGGATGGACAGCTTCAAATTTAAGTGCTGGCAATCCAAGACACAGTCTGGTTAACCAAGTGACGGCCAAAACCAGAGGTTCCTGATTGGCGCAAGATGGGTCTCTGTTTCTCCGGTGCTCCATCACTCCATTCCTCTTCACTCAACCGCCCTCACTATAATATCTGTGCCCTTTCTAAACTCATCCCAAAACAGGAAATGGGTTCTTCCTTCTTTTCCTCCGATTTGAATTTTCCCATGACGGGTTCGTTTCCTCTGTTTTCAGGTTCACCAGACATTCACGGCAGCAACGTCGTGGTCCCCGGAACCAACACCACCACCGAGATCGGAAAGAGTCAGTTTTCCATGATAGAAACCATCTACAGCGATTACTCTCCTCTTCCTTTTGCCGATGGCCAAATTCTGAAATGGCCCGAGTTGAAGGTCTTCAGTTTAAGGGAGCTGAAATCTGCCACAGGGAATTTTAAATCCGACAGATTGGTCGGTGAAGGTGGGTTTGGCAGAGTTTACAAGGGATGGTTGGATGAGAACACCCTCATCCCCGCTAAACCAGGCTCTGGAGTTGAAGTTGCCATCAAAATGTTCAACCCGGAAAGTTATCAAGGGTTTGCACAGTGGCAGGTCGCTTTATTTTCATCTCTTTCATTTAATTTTTTAAACTTTGACTTTAAATTTTTAATGTACTGAAACACTTCCGCCCTTAGATTAAAGTAATTGCTATCATGTTATGCATCTTAGCAATTGAATTCAAACTTTTCTTTACAATGTGGTAAAGTTAGATGAACTTGTCCTTTTCTATCGTGTTATGATTTTACTTGTCATATTGCATTTAATTTTCGTGCCATAAATCCAACGTCTTGAACAACTTTTGTTGGAAGATGCAGTCTGAGGTAAATTTTTTAGGAAGGCTTTCTCACCCCAACGTGATCAGGTTATTGGGGTACTGTTGGGACGAGGATCATTTTCTTCTTGTGTATGAGTTCATGCCAAACGGAAGCCTCGACTGTCATCTCTTCAAAAGTATGAACTGATGAAAATTAAAACAGATTGAAGGAAACCACTCTTGACTTTGAGTTTAATTCTTATTATTTGTCTTTTTTCTGATCAGCAAATCATAGCATGGAGCCACTTTCTTGGAACACCCGGCTTAAAATAGCTAAGGGTGCAGCTCGGGGATTAGCTTTCTTGCACGCCACGGAAAATAAAGTCATATTCAGAGATTTCAAGCCCTCAAATATACTTCTCGACGAGGTCAGTCATTTTTTGTTCGTTGATTTTCGCATGTCCTATACTTATTGGAAGCCAAAGCAAATACAGTATGAAATTTTGATGAATTGACAGTTAAAAATTTGGACCCCATCAATCATTTTACAAGCCTAACTCAATTTGAGATAGTTTAACTCCGTCTGTTATAACACAACCTGAAAATTCAATATCTTGATTATCTTTCTCAGTGCTGTCAATACTATAGACCTGGTGACTGGTTAAAGAATATTACATGATGTTATGAGTGCGTAATACTTTTAAATTTGAGTGATAAATTCCTCATACAATTGTGATAACGTACAGAATTACGATGCAAAATTATCAGATTTTGGCCTAGCTAAATTGGGACCATCTGAGGGACAATCACATGTAACTACCAAGGTCTTCGGCACCTATGGTTATGCTGCTCCAGAATATGTTATGAGAGGTAACTATATATCTGGTTTATTTGGTGTGAGGAAGTATTATTTGTTTTATTTTACATTTTCACATGCAATTACTTGAATGACACCTGACTTGTTTTGTGAAAATAAGCCAAAGACAAAATAACAGCAGAGAAAGTTTACTTAAAAGAAAGACCTTAATGTTATAGTAGTAGTAAAACAATGAATGTTTTGTGGAAGATGAAGTTGGGAAGGTAGACTAAAAATAAGGAATAACGAAGTGTAAGAATAATGATACCATGACACACTTTTATATTTATTTGATACAGGTTATAAGGATAAAATGGTAAAAAAAAAAATGTGTAAATTTTTGTTTTGCTTTAAAAAAAAAGAATAAAAAGTAAGTACTGTCAAATAAATCTAAAATATTTAGATGTGGCAAAGAAATCTTTACCGGAAGTCTAATGCTTTGAGCCACCACAGACTGACATGTGTTTTGGATTGTATAAATATTTGACAGGGCAGTTGTTTGTGAAGAGTGATGTGTATGGATTTGGTGTGGTCCTTCTTGAAATACTTACAGGCATGAGGGCAGTTGACAAAAGAAGGCCAACGAGGCAGCAGAAGCTGGTTGAATGGACAAAACCTTGTCTCTCTTCCGAAAAGAAGTTGAATAGCATAATTGATTGTAGGATAAAGGGTCAAATATCACCCATGGCTGCATTAGAATCAGCACAACTTATTATGAAATGCCTAGAGCATGACCCTGAACAACGTCCTTCAATGAAAGAAGTTTTTGAGGGATTGGAAGCCATTGAAGATAACCATTGAAGATAACCCAACTTATATTTGTAATTTTTTGTGTTTCTTAATTTTTTCTAAATTGGTTTCGAGTTTAAAAGACAAAATATTCTTTATTTTAAAAAAAAAATCAAATGACCTAGATTCAAACTAGCAAATAGAAAGAGTTTTCATATTTCATTAGTTATCTTACAATAATAAAAAAATATTTCTTATAATAATTATTTTAAAAAATAAGATGTAAAATAAATAATTTTTATAATTTTATTACGAGCAATTAATTAAATTTTAAAAATTAATTCTAAAATATAAAGAATAAAATTGTAAAATAATTTATAAGAATAATTTAAAATTATAAATGAAATAATAGTATAGATATATATTCTAATATTATTTTTATTTTTTATGTTTACAAGTATATTATTTTTTATGCTTACAAGTATATTCTTTAATTGTGTGTATGTATATATATATATATATATATAGAAGTACCTTCTATTTTCCTTGTGGAATTACTTGCCATGCTTTTGGTTAAAAAAAACCAATCGAGTTTTTTTTATTACTTTATTTGCCACAATTTAATTACTTTTTCTTCATTTTGTTTTTCTCCAAAAAAAAATAATACAATAAAAAAAATTATCATAATTTTAAGGATAAATTGTAAACAATTTAAAAGTTATATCTCTTTGTTAATTATTATAAATTATAGACATTCAGAATTTGTATTTGCACACATTTACTTATAGAATATCATTAATTCAACCTAATATTTTCTTATTTATGCTTTTACGTGTAAAAAATCAAAACTCTTTTGAAAAATGAACTGAAACTTTTAAATTAAAATAAACTAAAATTTTATAATTGTCTTAAAAACTCGTTTAATTTAATCCATTTAATTTAAGTAAAATGATTCTTTTGGAATAAGTTAGATGCATTTCTTTTCATCAAACTAACATTACCCTGTCTTATTTTATATCTTTTATTTTAAACGTTTGGGATCTTTTGCAGACAAATGAATGTTGCATATTTTAATTAATATTTCATTTTTATTTCTTTTAAACCTTCAATTTGTTTTTCTTTTTTCTTTTCTTCCTTTTTCCTTCTGTTGCTGCTGCAAGTCTATCTTCCCTCATCTTTCTCCCAGTCATTCAAGCATAACCCCATATTGTAAACTAAATTTTAACCAAATTAATCAATTTTCCACAGTACTTGTTTCCTCAATCTTTTAATCATTTTGATAAAAGTGTAAATTTGCTTCTGAAGTCAAACAAAAATTTCTAACATTGTAAAATAATCTTCAAACTTTTTTTCTCAATAAACCAAGAAAAGAGTTCTAAAAAATTACATAAACATAGAAAAGAAGCAGGAACACTAAATATATATGCAACTTCATGTTTAATATAATTTTATTAATTTAATTTTCTCATTTTAAATAATAAATCATATTTAATAATAATAATAATAATAATAATATATTTACTTAAACAAATCACTCACTCATAATTTATTTAAATTATAAATCTCATTTTATTTTAATATAATTTTATCATTTTGATTTGTTTTTATTTTAAAAAAAACTTACAATTCATTTTAACATAATTTATTATATTTTATTTTAACTTATTTTTATTATCAATGATAAAATGGTAATCTTCTTATTTTAACAATAAAAATATTTTTTAATCTCAAAATATTAACGAGTTTTTTTCTCAAATGTCTTCATTTCTTATCATATTTTTCTTTATTCAAACAATCTTACTTTTATCTATCTTTTCTCCTAATTTCATTTCTTCAAATTTATCTTTATAAATAAACTCACTTACTTACTAAAAGATGACATTCAAAACTTATTTGATACTTGAAAGTGTAATAAAATATAAAAAAAGTTTTGAAAAATCTTAAAAGTGGTTCATAGAAGTTATAAAAGTTGTCCTTCTTCCGCGAGTGAGATATGAAAGACAAAATGTGTCAATTCTTGGAACTATTTTATAAGATCATAAAAATGATGTCGCGTTAATTTAATTTCACTTTAAACTTGTATTTTGTAAAAATTTGGAAAATTTAATTTATCATTGAAGAAAGTTTGCTAAATAAAAATGTTACTTTAAATAAAATGGATATGAATATAAAAAAAATTTCAAAAGCATCAGAAAAAATATATTATTCTATTAGGTTTTGAGTTATTCTTCACCCACGACTAAAGACCGATTTTATAATTTATTGTTATAAAGAATTAGATATCCTAGTTTATGAAGACAAAATTGAAAAAGTGTTAGAAAATTCAAGATGTCATTTGGAGAAGATGCAAGAAACTTGTCTATTTCTAATGGTTTCTTTAAAACTTCAAGATTCACAAGTTTATATGATGTTGACTTTTTAGTGTCCAATCGATATGAAATAAGATGGAACTTGTTTTATTTTTTACATTTGTTGTTGTCTTTGGTTGTTGGTGTTGAGTGAGTTTGAAGGACGAAATAAGTCAGTCTGTGGGCCAAATATTGAAACAAAACAATCTAGGTCAAATGACGAGATCAGGCAAAGGTCGAAACAATTGGGCAGAAACGAATGTTTAGAACAATTTGCACGGGTTAAAGGTTGAGACAGGTTGACCCAAGTCGACTCAGGTCGGCCTAGACTGATGCTCAAGATGAGCTACCCCAAAACAAAGGTCAAGACAAGCTTGGTTGAATCAGCTAAGCCGATGACCCCAGTCGAAATTCACCCAAAAATTTGATCGAGTGGGTTTCGACCAAAATTTCGCTGAATATGGCCAAGTTGGCCTCGATCGAATTTCAATCAAGTGAGACTTGTCCAAATTTTAGCCGATGAAAATTAGGTTTAATTCTATTGAGCTAGCATCGTTTGAAATTTGACTAAATTCAGCCGAGTTGGTCCCCACTGAAAGCCTCGATCGAAATTTGGACGAACATTATCGAGTCAGCCTCAGCTGATTTTTGGTGGAGTGGTTCTCAACCAAAATTCAATTGAATTCACCTAAGTCGACCTCAACCGAATTTTTGCAGAGTTGGTCTTGATTGAAATTCTGTCGAATTAAATTTAGCCCGACACAAATTTTGACCAAATTCGGCCGAGTTGGCAGAGTGAGCCCTGACTCAAATTTTCCCAGATAGGTAGAGTTGGCCTCGATCAAATTTAGGCTAAGTTCGTCCCGGAAAATTTAGGCTGAGTCAGAATCAGATGAGTTAGGTCGAGTCAACCGTGACTGATATTGGGCCGAATTTTACCGAGACGACCCAGTCAAAATTTGGCCGAATTTGATTTGGTCAGTTGAAATTCAGTCAAATTCGATTGAGTCGATCCTAGAAAAAATTAGACTGAGTTCAATCGACTGAGTCGCAACCAAAATGTTGAGATGAGCTGAACTTTTAAGACGAAATGAATTTGATAGATGATGAAAATAAGTCTACTCAAAAGTCAAAAGGACTAACTCGTGTTGAAAGTTTAAATTAAAGCAATTCAAGTTAAAGGTAGGAACGAAAGAGAAGGTAGATCTTAATCAATCTAACCAAGGTTATGACATATTAATTTAAATAAAAAATTTAATAATATATTTAAATAATTGTATTTTTTATGTTTAAAATAAGAAATCTATGTTAACTTTATCTTTTTTTACCATATTAACTATTTTGATAAGGTGTTTTTTTTACTTTTTGTGATTTTTTTTTCTCGAATCCACATGGACCAATGTTAAATCGAGTGAATTGTACTTTATTGACAACTCTACTTTTCTATTTTTTTTGTCTGAGCAAACTTGAACCAGAATTTTGATAACGCTAAGATAAAAAAGTGCTATATATTAACTTAAGACATTTTTTTAAGTAGTAATGTTTATACATGTTTCTTTAATTAAAACTAGAAAACTGAAATAAATCAACCATTTATATGAATTAAAATGGAAAGTCAAGTTTTTTAAATTGTGATAGAATAGTTTTATCATTCGATTCAAAACAATAAATAAATATGTCCGTTTATAAATGTTTAATAAGAAAAATATATCAAATTATTAAAATGAATATACGAGCGTGCCATTAATAACTTTTTGTGTAATAATTTTAATTATATGTCAAAATCATTAAAATATTATACATAGATATATTTTAAAATTTTATATACTATCATAAAATAAATTGTAATTTAATTTGTATCATTATAAAAATTTCGAAAAAAATAAAATTAAGTTTTAAATTTTTTTTTCTAATCCTTTAATTTAAGAATGTTAAGTAAAATTTAATTACATTATAAAAATGTAAACAAAATTAAAGAAATTTTAAAATATAATTAGTTAGCTTTCCTATTAAATACTTTTATAATTAAGGCTTAATTACCTACTTAGTCCCCATGTTCGGAGGTAATTTGCTGTTTAGTACCCGGTTTTAAAAATGTAGGCATTTGATACCTATGTTTTGAAATTTGTATCAATTGAATCCTACACACATAACGACGTTATAATTGATAACATTTTTCTGACTATGTATGTGATTTGTGCAATCGTGGCAATGAGGTGGCTTAAGTGACTTGACGTGGCAGGCTTCCTCCAAGACTGAACCTCCAACCTACCGCACGGCCAATTCTCATCCAGTCTTCCTCATGAGCGTTCGTCTTCCTCACGAGCGTTCGTCTTCCTCACGAGCGTTCGTCTCCAACAACTCACAGCCTGCGCCTAACGTCTTCATCTTCTTCAATCACCTCCAACACCCGTGATTTCCCTTCCACCGTCTCACAGCCAACATCACAATCATCAACCAGCATCCAGTTCAACTTTACCCATTAACCAAACTTCCCTCCAGCAACAATCATTATCCCTCCGCCAACCACCCAGAATTCCAGAAAACCAAACCAGATACTGGGACTAAGCCATCAAGCTTCCTTTCATCTCTAATCACCACCAAAGGAGTTGAATCTTTGAACAGGAAACACGCGCACACAACAGAAACCCACCATTCCTAACTACCCAAACACAAAAAAAGAAAATAGATAAAGGAGAAGGGGAGAGTCAATCGGCGGCGGCTTCCAAGGCTGACGGCGTCGCGATTGGGAACGGATCCGGTGGTATTTGGGGTTTGCCGGCGACGCAAGAGGTGGTGGCACGGGTGGCTGGGTCGACGGTGAAAAGAGA